AAAAAAAAAGATGCGCCGGCAGAACTCCAAAGGGAAAAGAACAAAAGATTCTCAAAATAAAACATGTCTCGGAAAAAAAAGTTTATCTCAGCATTGCTCTCGCATGCGCAGTGTAAAGTTCTCATAAGCAAGAGAGATAACAAAAGATAAGAAATAAACATTAAACAAGCCAGTGAAAATCTACTCATATAAAAAGCCTGGAATAGTCATTCATCCAACTTTGCAGAAGATTTTCTTCTTTGAGACCGCGCTCCATTGACGACGTTTGCTATGACGCCCGTTTTAACCGTCAGCCTGAAAGTGGCTAAACAGAAATTGACTCGACTACTCAACGAATTGGGGAAACTGATCGAAGAAGCTGATCAATTTAGTCAGCCATGGCAGTTTCCGACTACAAGGAAAGAACTTGAAATATTTTTGGCAACGAAGCCAATTGTGGTAAAAGCCTTATGCAAAAGAATTGAAGGCAAAAAGGAATACATTTGGCAATGCTACAACGAATGCATAACCACCATAAGTAGCTCGGATGAGAAAGGAGAAGATGGAAGTATGAAAAATAATTTCGAGCAGTATTGGGAAGAAAAAAGAGGCGAATATTGGCTTGAAACTGCCTCTGAGGTAATTGATAATTTGGAAAAGAGACTAGTGGAACTACAGTGTCAAGAAGCTTTTGTAAGGAAAGGACAAGAAAGACACTTTGAAACTGCGAACGAACAGTCAAACCGACTTTCCACAGTCCCTCACCGACTGTTCGGAAATGAAATCAAAATTCCAGATTTTGACGGAAAGGCAACGGAGTTTGACTCCTTTTGGGAACTATTTGAAGAATTAGTCCACAAACAACCTTACTCTAATATTGAAAAACTTTCAATATTACTAAGTTGTTGTAAAGGAGATGCTGCTAGAACGCTAAAAATGATACCACGAACAGGCAGCTCCTACGAAGAGGCAATAAACCAACTTAAGCTGCAATACCAAGACGCAAAAAGAACTACTATGACAATGATACGCCAACTAAAGAACATGAAACAGGCAAGAGACGACGCTAGGTCGCTTAGAAATACACTCAGCGACATTGAAACAATCATCGCAACTCTTCGTAAGAATGGCGAGTTCGTGGACACCACGCAAATGTCGAGTATGGTAATCGATACATTTCCCAAGACAATACAAGAGGAAATTCTAAAGAAAGAATTCGATTCGGGCAAAGAGTGGAATACTGCAGATTTGATAGCAAATATAGCAATCATCGTGAAAAGGCGTGAGCATCTGGAAAACCGTACGCAAGAAGAAAAACCACAATACTCCATGTTTACGTTGAATACCAAGGGTTACTTGCGATGTATTGGTTGTTACAAAAACCACTACTTCAAAGATTGCACTCAATATAAGACAGCTTCACAAAAGATAGAGCGTCTCAAGGCAACAAAAGCATGCTGGAAATGCTTCAGCCCCAAACACCACACGAAGATGTGTAGGCTGCAAAACTGTACAGCATGCGGTGGCTACCACAACCCAGTGGTCTGCCGTTACAGCGAACCAAGAAACAATGAACTTATTACATCAACCAAATCTAGAAGATTTTCCAGAAGCCCGATAAAAAGAAGCATTCGTCCCAGAGATCAAGTGGTGAGAAGCCGCAGTAGCTCCTATGAAAGCTCAAGGACAATACTCGATAGACGCTCCTCTAAGCCCGCGCATGTAAGTTGGAAAGACGAACAAGGGAAAACGGTGAGTAAGCCTCGGTTCTCAACACCTACAAGAAAAGAACATCGATACAATGTTCATTTTACTATGAATGAATATCAAAGGGATTGTAACTCAACCGAAAATCCCATGCTCTGTATACAAAACAATGAGACGCAAGAACATTCGCGACTCATGTCCGTTCCTGTACAAATATACAATCACTGCAAAGGCATAATGGAGACTGTGACAGGCATGTTAGACTCAGCGGCAGACCAATCATTTATCACGAAAAGCCTTGCACAACGGTTTTCTTTACCTATCGGAACAGAAAAGGTAGTCAAAGTTACGACCTTTGGGGGAAAGGCAGAGGTTCATAAAGTACGGAAGGCAATCGTGAAACTATATAATAATGATGGAAATTATATAGAAACAAACCTTTTAACACACGATAAGATTACCACAAGCTTTGATCTGGGCAAACTCTCATACTTAGATAGAAAAATGTTGGAAACCATGTTTCCAGATAGTGTAGAAACACTGATACAGGAAAAAGTTTATCCGGAAATTCTTATAGGAATCGACTATTTCAACTATATCATCGAATTCAACAAACCTGTTACTCAATTGCCATCCGGACTTTTCCTTATGCATACTTTCTTCGGACCAGTAATCTCAGGCAGACCACACAACAGAGAAACCACCACTGAAAATATCATATCATACCACCAGTTGATCTGTTCATGCTCTGATAATGATCAATTCGAACTTAAAAACCAAAA